AAAGTTATAGTGGGTAAAATTGCTGGGCCTTAACACAAATCAACAAAGTCACATTCTTTACTCCCATGCACTTATGATTTAACAAAAAGGCCAGCTTCACAGAAGAATGTCCACAATAGAGCACTAATAGTTAATTTTATTAATAAACACAACCCTTGAGTACACATCTCGTTAACCATCTGTGCGTAGAGCTTCTGCTGCATACTGCCGTACTGGACGCATTTATGCGATGGTTTGCGTTGAGAACTGAACTACCTGCTTTTTTCATGGAACATCATTTTTTTAGAAAGAACAATTGACAAGCTATGATTATTTAGACTTGAGTACTTGGCAGACATTTTCTCACAAATGAATGAAGTGAGTGTGTCACATTGAGGAAAATAACTGACAGTATTTCTTGCCAATTATAAAATTTGAACCGTAAAGTGAAAATCAGAGTTTTAGAAAATTTGTATCCACACTGTGAGCTTGACAGCTTCCCGATACCTGAGTATTTGCTGATGAAATCAGTGGTAATATTAACAAATGTGATATTGTGGACTGAAATGTGTCTACACTGGGAAGACCTGCATAAACCACTGAGTCGTTATTTTCCAAATGACCAGCCCATGATGTTACAAAATCAGGCATGAGAAAAAGACCCATTCAAAGTGCCAGACAGACCAATGGAATTTAATGTAGCTGAGTATGAGAAGTTCACTGATATGTTTTCAGATTCCACATTGCAACTAATCTTTCAGAAACTGCCATTTGTTCAATTTTGGTGACATCAAAGAAGATATCCACGATTATCTGAAAAGGCTATTAAAATGCTTCTTTTTCCAACTACAAATCTGTATGAAGCTAGATTTTATGCATCTACTCCAAAGAACATATCACAAGACTAAACACAGAAGCAGACATGAGAATCCAGCTGTCTTCTACTAAGCTAGTCATCAAAGAGATTTGCAAAACTGTAAAACAATACAACTCTTCTCTCTAAATTTTTTTATTTTGAATACATATATTTTATAAAAAGTACGTTAATATGTAAAGAACTTATTACAATTATTTTTAACTAATTAATACTTTAAAGCCTCAGTTTCTAATATTTATTTCCATATTTGTACTATGGTAAATATCTATGGCTACAGCCCACATAAATAAAAGTCTTTGAAGTCCAATAATTTTTTTTTTTTTGAGGAAGATTAGCCCTGAGCTAACTACTGCCAATCTTCCTCTTTTTGCTGAGAAAGACTGGCCCTGAGCTAACATCCATGCCCATCTTCCTCTGTGTTATATGTGGGATGCCTATCACAGCATGGCTGGCCAACCGGTGCCATGTGTGCACCCGGGAACCGAACCGGCAAACCCCGGGCTGCCGAAGCGGAATGTGTGCACTTAACTGCTGCAACACTGGGTCAGCCCAGGAGTCCAATAATTTTTTTTTAAAGATTGGCACCTGAGCTAACAATTTGGCAATCCTTTTTTTTGCTGTTTCTCCCCAAATCCCCCACCAGTAGATAATTGTCTACTTTTAGTTGTGGGTCCTTCTAGTTGTGGCATGGGGGACACTGTCTCAACATGGCCTAAAGAGTGGTTCCATGTCTGCGCCCAGGATCTGAACCGGTGAAACCCTGGGTCGCCAAAGCGGAGCATGTGAACTTAACCACTCAGCCATGGGGCCGGCCCCATCCAATAATTTTCAAGAGCATAAAAGGGTCCCAAGTCCAAGACATCTGAGAACCACTGATACAGACCACCCATTTCAGTCTCCCAGTTCTCAGGGCTTGTTTCCAGCACACCTACCCCCTCCACTGGCTTCTCCACAGAATACAGAATTATAAAACCTAAAAGCAAAACTTAGAACATAAAAGCTGAAGAAGAAATAAGACAGCAGGCATAGTGAGCTAAAGAGAGACTAAGACCATTTCCTTCCCTTCAAATAATGTTCCTTTAAGGGCCAGGGCTGGCTAAGCAGCCCTGCCCCGCTAGGCTGGTTCACCCACAACCCCTGCCTCCTGCCACCTGCAGGAGAAGAAAGATGGGGACAGAGCTCCGAGCAGCAGTTCAGGTGTCTTACCACCTTCAGATTCAGCATCTAATTGGATAAAATAGCCGATGAAGTAAGGCAGATGGGGCCATTTTGTATTACTCATGAGGTCTGTGCCTTGCCTAACACCAGTAAATAAAAGACAGGCTGGGGGCTGTGACCTTGGGGTTGCAATCCAGGGTTCCCTCCACTGGGCACTCCTCTAAGAGGCCTCTCTTCCCCACTCAAGCCAGCCCAGAGGTCAACCAGTAAAGATGCATTATTTTATGTGCAAATAAATATAAGCCACATTCCTTTGGGTAACTGGTCTTTTTATAATAGTTTGTAGGAAAAAGTGACCCTTTGTATTACTTTTCAATTACAAAACTAGTCTAAAAATGACTAAAAAGTAAAAGTTAATGAAATAGAAGACAAAGAAACAATAGAGATAACACAAAAGCTGGTTCTTAGAAAAAGAAAACAGGGGGCAGGCCTAGTGGTGGCGTAGTGGTTGAGTTGGTGCACTCTGCTTCGGCAGCCCAGGGTTTGTGGGTTTGGATCCTGGGCATGGACCTACACACAGCTCACCAAGCCATGCTGTGGCAGCAACCCACATACAAAAAACAGAGGATGATTGGGACAGATGTTAGCTCAGCAACAATCTTCCTTACTGAAAAAAAAAAGAAAAGGAAAATAGACCTCTAACAAAACTAATCATGAAAAAGGGCACAAAGCATTAAATAAGCAATATTGGGAAAGAAAAAAGGAAGATAAATAAAACACAGTAGAGATATGAAAACAGAAGACTATGAAAATTTTATGCTAATGATTTAAGTTTTTGACTTTTTAAACTTTTTTTGAGAAAAATTTAAAAGTACGAAAATTGACTAGAGGAAGAGGGAACTAATAGTTTTAGTAATACTTATAGTAGTAGTAGAAGTAATATTTTGGGGTCTTCTCTTAAAATACAAACCCCACAGGGCAGTAAGTGGTGGTGAGTTCATTCCTCCGTTGCCTTGTGACAAAAGAGATGGGTCCTTGGAGCCCAGGCCTGCCTGTCTGGTTGGAAGGAAAGAGGGTGCTGAGAGTAAGAGGAGGGCTGGCACTGCCCCTTGTGTAGCAACCCTGGTTGGCCTGGGGTGAGATTACCCCAAGGCTGTACCAGGCTACCGAGACATCTCCTGCTTGCTTCCCCAAGACTCAGCACCTCAAACATGAGATTCTGCCTGGCCCACCGTTGGTCCCAGGTGGGCACAGAGACACCCCAATCAATCTGGCTCTGCCCAGCCTCAAGGTTCAGCCTACAATCCCCTTCTCCTTTACCCCCTTTCTACTTCCCTTTCCTCCTTCTCTTCTTTCTCTCTCTGCTTCCTCTCCCTCATTTTCTATTGGAAAACAAAGAGTAGCTCCAGGTGTGGCTGGAGTCATATCAGCCACCTCATCCCACATCCCGCCCTCTCCCCACTCCCACTGCTTAGTACTTCTGGCCAGAGGAGTCACAGCAAACAGGTGGAGTTCTAACGACTAACCCTCAGCCTGTCTTGGCCCATTCCCCAAACTCATTTCTGAGTCTGATGTCAGAATGGGACAGAGAAGGGGCCTAAGGGGTGTGGTGGTATGTGCAGTAAAGGGAGACAGCTGGTTAGCTCTGAGCTCTGGTACTGGAGTTACTACAAGAGATCTATCATTTAAACCTTGCCCTGTCTGTGGCCCAAATGAATGTCCCACATATATAAGCAATACTGTGCCTCAAATTTGTCAATGTAGTTGGATAAATAAAAATTAAATCTATCGCTTATCAGCCTTTTGGCTAAGATCAAGCGTAAAAATTAAATCTACTTAAATGTGTTACTCTGTCCATACCAGCTTGTGATCAGTATTATCCCAAGCAACAGACACTAGAAGCACAACCCCATAACGTGTGCATGCACGCATGTATGTGTGTGTGTGTGTGCATGTGCATGCGTGCACGCATGTGCAAGCGCTGAGGGGTGGAAATCCATTAAATATTTTAATGATAGAAAGAGTGATTTCCTTCAGGGAAAGGATGGGATGACCAGTGTACCCAGCATTGCTGTAGTCAAGTCATGATGTCTCCTTATGGTCTCATCCATGGAGGCAGGAGTGAGAAGTGGGCCGCAACAGACAGTTGAGCTTAGGCAGAGAGGGTTCCTTTGCGGGCCTTGCTAATGATTTAGTCCTGGATTGACTCTAGTCCCTAGCAGGCCCTAAGGCAGCTGCTTCAGTGGACTCCTTATCTTGCTCAAAGCCTTAGAGATGGGATGGGATATGGAGGGCTGTGACCTCACTGTGACCTCCAGCCTCTGCTGACTACTTGGTCTGGAGTGGGCATCCTGTCCAGATAACAGAAAACTGATGCTGCAACGACACTGACCACACCTGAGGCCAGGACACTTGACCAGGCACATTCAAGTGCATTAATGGACATAGTAGGTTAAAAAAATTGAAATCTGGACCATAGCAGATGTGTAGCAGTCCTTACCAAAGTCAGCCTCTGGTAAGAACATGTATAGGAATCCAGCATCAGAGAACTAAAAACCGACAAGAGTAAGAAAGAGGTGCCATGTCACAGGTACTTCCCAGTCCAGTATGGCATTATGATTTGAAAGGCCCTAAGGAAGGTCCCCAGATCCTCCCTCCTATCTAATGAAATGGCTAGACTTTCAGGCCTCTCTTCCTAACGCCACCAAACCAATATTTGGGTTCATTCTTTGGAAACAGTGAGCTGCTTCTTCAAAGAACCCACCACTCTTGTCTGCCACCCAAGATCTACAAAGTAGGGAGTTTTCAGCAAGAGTTCTAGGTAGGCTCAAGGGCTATAAGTGACTAACTCAAAACCTCCCTCTGGGGTGCCTCTGCATCCAGGATGGGAGCGTGCCTTGGAGGTGACATAGCAGGAAGCCTGGTATATTTTGATGTCATCTGTCAGGCGCTCCTTCCAAAAATACCCCCCCTGCCCCAGACCTACCTTGTACCTAAAATTTCACCATTAAGAGGGTCCTTGGGCCAGCCCCGGTGGCCTCGTGGTTAAGTTTGGCATGCTCTGCTTTGGCTGCCTGGGTTTGGATCCTGGGCATGGACGTACACCACTCATCTGTTAGTGGCCATGCTGTGGCCGTGGCTCACATGAAAAAGAAAAAACAATGAGGACTGGCAACTGATGTTAGCTCAGGGCGAATCTTCCTCAGCCAAAAAAAAAAGAGAGAGAGAGGGTCCTTAAAGTTATTCAACAAGTCTCTAGAAAAACACAAAGATTTCTTAACTTGGGGTGGGATGGGGGTGGAGATTAGTAAGAAGTCACACAAGAACAAACCAGTGGTAGCCCTGGAATTCCTACATGAGGGGCTTAGAGGTGGCAATCCAGTGAGAAGAGGAGTGGAGTGGGGACAGACAGTGGAAGGGTTGGGAGTAACTATAGTAAAGCAGTGTTTTCCTAGTGAGCACACAGTTTTCAAATACGCTATTTATTTGGGGTGGCTTTGGGAAGATACTGACAGAAATTTGGGATGCTAAAGACTCCCCCATAAACTACCCCTTGACTCTACCACTGCGACAAGAGAAACAAACTGAGCACCAAGACCTTGGAAATCAAGACACAGGAGTCCTGGATTTGGGGGTGGAGGGAGGACTTCAAATTCAGTCCCCTCCCTCCTTAGTCATTTTGCTTGTCAGAGGCAGGCAAACACCCCAAGGCTGAGCTGAGGAATATCCATGAGGGTTTTTTGACCCCGGAATTCTCTGCAGGGTCTCCTCCCTGGAGGAGGCCGAGGAGGGAGTGCAGCCCCTTGGACCAAGAACGGCAGGAGAAGGGCAGAGTAAACTGTGGGCTGGATTGTCCAGTCACATGACGCCATCTCACTGCTTCTTGTCACGTAATCTCTTTTTCCCTCCTCCTCTAGTCTCTCCCTCTCCTCCTTTCCCCTCCCTTTGCTCTCTTTTGATTTGGTTAAAATAGATGCAAACTCTGGTCTTTTCTATTTTTAATACCCAGCCATTACATAATCCACACCGTAATTGCTGACTTGAAAAACTACTGGCAACAGTAGAAAATCCCCAGAGTTTTAAACAGGAAAAGGATTATTACAGCACAAAAGCCTTTGGCAGTTTTACTGACTAGTAAACCATCTGTAATCGTCACTTGCCAGTGGAAGTCACATGGGCCCTGGGAAACACTCTCCCCACCTCAGGGAAAGCAGGCTGGGGGAAGGGATGAATCGCAGCCTCAGCTGGGAGGAGAACGCTTTGTGTGGCAAAGCAGGGGACAAGGTGGTACTCCTGGAGCTCCCACTGGGCCCAGAAGTGAGGGCTGAAGGAGTCAGCTTCAGGTTACCCCGGGGCCACCTTCTACAGCTTTTGTTTCCTGCAAGGGAGTGAAGTCTCCAGAATCCAGGACCTTTCCCTCATCGACTTCCCAGGCGTTCCTACAGGATCCAACACTTCCTGAGTGAGCCTGAGTGAGCACGGACTATTCCAGTTAAATAATTTTATAAAGACACAGGAGCAAGGAAGACTGCTTGTTAATCACAGAGACCTGACCCACTCCTCTGCAAGGCTTTCCACATATTAGGCCAATCACCACAATAGTGAATTCTTCAATAAAATGGTCCAATAAAAATATAAGAAATAGAGCTTTGGTAAAGGGTTTCACAACCAAATCGAAATTAGCTATCTCATTGAGACAAAATTCTCTGTATGTGCTTTAGGGTATGAATAGCATAGGAGATGCAGAGGGGACAAGGACAACTTTCCCTGATTTTGCCAATTCTGCCACAACCCTAACCCCAATAATCAAGGTGGGTCAGTCCAATTTGAGTAACTATACATGACAATTCATTCAACAGATGTTTGCTGAATGCCACACGCTGGGCTGTTGCTGGGGGTATAACAGTAAGCACAATCACTGCCCTGGTGGAACTGCCAGGTCAGCGAGGAAGGCAGACATTAATCAAATATTACATAAAAACGTCATTACAAACCATGGTGAAGGGTGACAAGGGAAAAGGATAGGGCGCTAGGGGCATTTAGAACAAGGGGACTTGATAAGGTCTGAAGGTTCCTAGAGGATTACCCTAAAGACTTCAGGGTTCTTACAATTCAGCACCTCATCTTCCTCCCCTCCCCCTCCCTCCCTTCTTCCTTGCTTCCTACAGTTAATATTTACTGTTTTTTTCTATGTACAGAAGATAAAATTAGGTTCTTTACATATATGGTCTCACTTGATTCATATAGCAAACTTACAGTTCAAGACACTTTAAGACAAAAGGATCTGGTGAGAAAGGTCAAACCATACTTTTTAATGAGAACTATATACAATTCATAACATGAATTAAGACTACTACCTGCAGATGACAAAAATCCAAATTAAATTTTCATAAGAAAAAAAAAGGAAAGCCTGGGCCTCTGTAAATGAAATGTCCAGAGTTAGACTAGCTTAAGGAATAGTTAGGTCTAGGTGCTGAAAAGATGTCATCTAGTCTCCATCTCTTTCCACCTCCCAGCTCAGCTTTCATCTGTGTTGACTTCAGCACTCCCGTGGGGCGGCAAGATAGCCACCAGCCGCCTCAGGGTTACAAACATTCTACAGGCTTGGTGACCCAGTTGGAAAAGAAATGAGAATTCACTTCTTAATAGTTCCAACAAAAGTCAGGAAGTCCTGATTGGCCTGGATTTAACACCATGCCCATGCCAACCGCTGTTCTCTGATAGGCATGGTTATATGTCCCCTATCCAGAACCCAGAGATAGACCTGACCCCATCAGAGCCCAGACTGAGAATGGGGAAGGAGGTAGCCCCAAAGGAAAATCAAGGTGCTCTTACCTAAGAAGAGAGAATGCGTACTGGGCAGGCAAAGCCCACCCATCTCTGCTGTCCTCAAACTTTGGAACTACAATGGAGGCTAAGACTATACAACAGGTTCTTCCATCAACCTGTTCTTCTTCCCTAAGGAATGAGCAAGAGTGCTTGTTCAGTGTGGCACCGGCTGGATTTGCCATGATCCCACTCCTGCTGCTCAGAGACCTTGGGTTCTTGCTTTAGGGCACTCACTCGTCTTAATATTTGCTTACATACTTGCTCAGAGCAGTCTTCAAGTCCCAAGAGTCTGCGGAAGACTTTACCCATGTCCCTTCACTCCCAAATGATGTGCCCTACTCAGTGCTGGTGAGGCTGGGGCGGCTGCAGCTCTCTAGCTCTTTGACCAGCATCCTCAGGATCTGTGGATTCCTAATAGGAAGGGAAGAGAATGACAAGCCCTTTCTTGGAAAGTTTTACTTCCCTTTTGGAGTCTGAACTGAAAAAATGGAGTCCATGGGGCAGGAAGAGGAATATCAGGATAGTTCCTGGGGCATCCAACAAATAGACCTCCATAAGAAGGATCTTGGCAGGGGGGAGCGGGGAACACTGTTAAACATTCTATGAGATACACAGCACTACAGCAATCAGATGTTAGCTGCAACCACCTTATCCTTGGACGTGTTTTTAAAAGCTTCTTGGATCCCCCTATCCCAAATCCTATGGGAAGTCCAATGACCTTCCCCCAATTTCTGCAAACTTCCAGCAGCTAATGCTCTTAGTAATCCCTTCCGGCTCTAACTCCAGCTCCTGCTGGACTTTTGATCTCACTCACATCTCACCTCCTGAGGCTGGTCTTTTCCCTCTGCTCTGAGCTGTCCAGATGTGGGACTCAGCTCTCTTTCTCCATGCTTTACCAAAAGAACAAATACACCTATACAAACTCACTCAAAATATTGTGTATTCATCAGGCTTTCCTGAAGTTATGAAGAGACAGAGGGGTTTTATACTACCATGCTGCTTGTCTTCTTCACCTTCTCCAGACACTTCCCACATTTGGGAAGGGGTCTCCCCTTCCCTCAGGAAACTAAATTCCCCTTATATTATTCAGAGCAACTTAGCTCTCCATCCTCCTTCCTCTGACATCCAATGACCCATAGCTGGAGTCAGCCGCACTACAAACCATCCACTCCAGGTTCCACCCCTGACCAGTGCTGAAGAACAAAAAGAAGTTTTGAATTTTCACTCTCTCATCACCGTTCTGCAGTGGAGAAGAAAATGGAACCATTTTTTCCCCTACAAATAAGAGTTATGCCACTCATCTTTAGAAGCAGAACTGGCTGCAGTCAGTACTGGTTTTAAATAAGTTTCTACAATTCTATGTAAAGTCTCCAGCTCAAAGAAAAGCCTATGTTACAAGTCCAAAACAATTCTCCCATACCCCTACTGGGGTCTACTGACACTGAGAATGTGACGAAGGAAAGCAATGCTTCTGTCCCAGAAGTGTTGCCTGTTTTTGAAGGACAAAAGAGTTTACATCCCTGTGCCACCTTGTGATGGAATTCCTGTTGTTTCCAGGCTGGAGCTCCGGAGCCTCAAACTCCAGTGAAATAGGCAAAACCAAGGTGTCAGCTTCAAGGACTCCTTTCACCTAGGTTGGTGTGGGCCCGAGACCAAGATAAAAACTGGCTAATAGGCTTCTCCAAAGGTGATGCAAGGGCAACCACAAGGAGCAGGTTTCCTCCCAAGACCTAGGCTAGCTCTAAGCCATGCCTTCCTGGGCCACTCAGATAATTCCCTTCCCTTTCTAAGGGGAAGGAGCAAGCAGGGTGTCCCAAAGAGAGGAGGCCCCAGCCTCTCTCAATGCTTCAGAGGCAGGAGACAGGATCTGTAAGGCTGTGAATACCAAAAAAGAGCAAATCCTAGGAAAGAATTCTGAGCTTTGAATTCCTTTGTTCATCACACCAAAAAGAGGAGCAGCAGGCAGCATGGCCAGCCCATAGAATCTCTTAGGAATCCTTCTGGTTCCCACGGAAGAAGGAATAGGGAGAGGTGCCTAAATTCTTCTTGGAGGCTAAGATTTACAATACCAGGTTAAACAAATAAAGAGGAAGAAGGTGAGGATGGGAATACACCTTTCATCTTACATAAGGGGAAGACAAAAGTTGGCATTTCATTCATTAAAGTCATGACTAGAAAAATACACCCTTAAATATTTTTTAACCTAAAGGAATCCTCTAATAAAATTTAAAACAGAATGAATACATTCCAAATCAAATAAATAGGAATGTTTTTTAAAAAATAAATGGGAACATTCTATTCCCATTGCTCTGCACTTGTTTTTCTCACTGATACAGAACCTACTTCAGCGTTTTCACAACCACACTACTTTACAGTCCCCTACTCATGGATATTTACTAATGCAATGAACATTCTTGTCCAGTACATCCCTGTACTCAAGGATAACCACTTCTTCAGATGAAATTCCAGTTTGCCCTGCTATGACTTGCCTGTTTGTATTCTTTGCCCATTTTCTATTGGATTTGTTGTCTTTTTCTTATTGATTAATAGGAATCTTTTATAAATTATAGATATTAATCCATTGTCTATTACATATATTGCAAAAATTTTCTCCCAGCCTGTTGATTGTCTTCTACCTTTATTTATGATGACTTTTGCCAGACAGAAGTTTCTCATTTTTACATGGTAAAACCAATTACAAACAATTTAGAAAGTACCGCCATGGGAGCAGCACACCCCGAGCCCTGACCCACCTAGCTTCTTCTGCTGGGGGCCACACAACCTTGCTTAGGTTTCTGTGGTGAAATGGCTATTAGGCAATGATTTTCTGAGCAGTTCCCATCTGGTTTTATAGCTACAGTGGTGGTGTAAATGGATCAGGTTAAGAAGGGGCAAAAAGAATTGTGAGATTTTGTTTGTTTATTTTCAGCTATTTCGGCACTTTTTTTTTTTTTGAGGTTTGCTGAGGAAGACTGGCCCCGAGCCAACATCTGTGCCCATCTTCCTCCACTTTACATTTGGGACGCCTACCACAGGACGGCTTGCCAAGCAGTGCCATGTCTGTACCCGGGATCCGAACCAACGAACCCCAGGCCGCCAAAGCAGAACGTGCACACTTAACCGCTGCACCACCAGGCAGCCCTCAGGGCTTCTTTCTTAATTTTTGTTTAGAATCATGTATTAACAATGTCAAAGGAAACCTGAACCACTGAAAATCCAAAAACATCTTTATAAACAATAATCTGAGTACTTCCAGATTCTTTCAAACTATGTGGGCTTTTTAGGGCATTATTTACTGTCACCATGGAAGGAAAATTAAATTCCAGACCCCACAGGAACAGAAAGGCTCAAGAGTCCATTGCCTCCTAGAGTTTTAAGCAAGACCTTTACAACACTTCCCTTGAGCCTCTCACAGAAGATTAGCACTGGCCCAATCTGATCCTGAACAGTTCAAAAAACCCTGTGGCCAAATGGGATTTTGCCTGCAAGAATACTTAGTCCCGGTTCCCGCAAAATCTGCCTAAAGGCCCCGTACTTTGTGGGGATGTCTCACTTGGCCAGAACTTCTCCCGTCCCCCAACTATTAAAACTCCACTGTATTTAGGCAGGCAGTGCAGAAAGCAGGCCTAAAAGACGGTTCTGGCCTCTTTCCCCCAGCTGAAACCTGACACTCCTTGAGGAACTTGGTTTCTGGGCCATGAAGATTCTGCCAAAAAATCATTCTTCAGTACCCAGCGGTACCAAGAGGAGAAACAGACGAACTGTCTTGATGGTTCTTCAAGCTATTATTCCCACAACCTTACAAAAACCCTTCCTTTGCCAAGTCCACGGCTACACTCCTCCTCACTGCCGTCAGCTACTAACCTCGTGGTCATCAAGGACTTTGGTCCTCGATCAGAGTCTGCTTTTCTACTCCAAGTCAGACCCTTTGCCTCGTCATGAACTCCTAAATTTCTACCTCTTCTTGTCTTTACTTTTCGGCTTCTGTATTTCAACTACACTGAGATTTCCAGTCTCTTCACACCCCAGCCCCCATCATTTTGCTGCCTATCATGCCTCTTTCTCTAGCCAACTAGATGACAACTACTCTGCTACCATATCCTAGACCCCCTTTACTCCAAGTCTTCCATTTGCCCCACAAACCAGAGCTCCTATTTGAGTACAAAAGTCCTGTGCCTTAACCCCCAAGTTGCTGAGCACTTCTAAAGCAACCATTAAGTCACGAGGGCTGCTCCTCTAGAAAGTCAGCATCTCCAACATTATCTGGGTCTTAAGCACAGCTCAACTGTCCTCCTCCACGTCCTCAGATCACTGCCATTGGCACAAGAGCTTTTAAAAACCATGCCACCATACCCACTATGTCCCCTGCTCCCAGCAGATGACTTCAACTTCTTCTGCCCAGAGAAAACAAAGCCCAACAGGAGGAAACTCCAACATTCTGTCTCCCCAAAATCTTACCAAATTCCTCTGCCCCATAACATCTCTCATCCCTAGCAAATGAAACTTAAAAGAGCTCAAACGAGTGCTAACAAAAGGTAGGAAAACAATAAAGGGTGGTAGTCGTGGTGGTGAAGCTAACCTCAGTGGTAGCCTTGTCATTTGTTCAGTTCAAGTTTCAACTCTCCACCTGTGCTCAGGATGCAGTAGCCCCTTCTCCCCAGGGGCCTTGCTCAACAATTTTTCTTTCTCTTTTCTATCTTCAACTTTTCCCTCTCTACTAGCCCTTTCCCCACAGCGCAGGGACATGCTTGGGTCTCAAAAAATAAAGAACTCACCTTAGATGCTGGGTCCCCTCCCTTCACTAACTCTCCTCACTTCACAGACAAGCTCCTTGAAGAAGTGGTCTCCCTGACTGTGTCCACAACCTTGCCCCCATTCCCTAGCTGCAGAGGTACTGTCTAGCAAACAGAGTGGACTGCTCCTGGTTACCAAAGGTCTGCTCTTTGGAAACTGCTTTAGAGATCAGTAAAGAAGCACAGTGAAAGGAAATGTATTGTGTTGATACTAATTCAGTTTTAATAATGTGAATGAGAACATATTTTCCTTTGTATCAACACTACCTTTGACTAGAGTATATGCAAAACTGTTTAAGGTTTTTTTTTTTTTTTTTTTTGCTGAGGAAGATTCACCCTGAGCTAACATCTGTGCCAGTCTTCCTCTATTTTGTATGTGAGTCACCACCACAGCATGGCCGTTGATGAATGGTGTGGCTCTGTGCCCAGGAACCAAACCTGGGCCACCAAAGCAAAGCATGCAGAACTGAATCACTAGGCCATGGGGCCAGCCCCAGCAAGACTGTTTAAAGCATGCTTTAAAACAAAGAAACTTGTTTTCACAAAACTTCCCTGATTCTCTAGGTCCAAAAGCTACAAACCACCTCTCCTGAGTTCCCACAGTTTTAGTCTATATCT